GCGGCCTCCGCTTGAGTTTCCCGTGTGGTTCGGGGCTCAGTGGCGCCGCAGGGAGTGGTGTGTTTTTTAAATATATATTGGGAGTTATTTTTAATATATTTATTTTTTTAAAAATAAAATCTTTGTTGCTTACGTGATGGAGAAATGTGCTTCCTCCTTCAAGGTTGTAACGAGCTCTTTTTTTATAACGTTTAGTGCTCAGAATCACGTTTTGAGGAAAATAGCGTGGCTTAGTTCTAGAGGAACCGTCCTTGCTTTTTATAAAAATGATGGACTTAGGGACTTGACCCTCCCAAATATCTGACTTCTTTTGCCATTGCTTAGTGGTAACAAAAAAGGTCCACGAGTAGGCCAGGCCAGCTCCGGGGCCACTGCAGTCCTGGCGGGCTGGGTGACCAAGGTAACCACCAAGGTGGCCTGATCACAAATTGCTAACTGGGTGGGTCGGCCATGGCAGGTGTCAAGTTCCAGGCCTGTTAGCTTCCTTAGCAACGCCACCCTCGGCCTTGAAGGAGCCCAGCCTATTCTCATGCATATAGGAGGGTGACCCACCTTTGAAAGGTCAGGGTAATTTTCTTTCCCAACACCTCGCCTGGGAGACTATGAAACTCCTCACTGTTATCTTGAGCCCACTTATTTACTGTCAATGTTAATTATCCCACACTTACCAACATAAAAGATGTAACTCTCCATTTTGTTTTTTATCCAATGATTTTGCTTTCTCTCACCTCCTTACTCTACCACCAATGGATTTCATGCACCTTTCTTATAATGACTCCTGTGATTCTAATGCATAAAAGGGACTGGAAAACTGCCTTTTTCCAGAGTCCATTTATACTCCAGCTTTATCTTTTCCTGTGGACGTTACATCAATACTGAGCTTAAATATGCTCCTTTCAAGAAGCCTTTCCAACCACAGGTTGTCTTCTCTTCTGAATCCTCTTAGCCATGGGCAAAGTACGGCCCGAGGGTTATGTAATGATGTTTAGTTTGAATTTATATTAGTTCACACAAACACTCCATCCATGCTTTTGTTCCGGCCCTCCGGCCCAATTTAAGAACCCATTGTGGCCCTCTAGTCAAAAAGTGTGCCCACCCCTGCCTTAGTTCTTGGTACTTTTAAATGAACTTCCTGCCTAAAAGTTGTGTTAATCCCATTGGATGACGGCACTCTACAAGGCACGTGAACTGTCCACACCTGCTTCCTTATCTAGAAAATGTGGACGTGCACCTGCAGTACGGACGCGTCCTGAGTTCCAGTGAGCATTAAGTGGGCTGAATGTGAAACATGCCTGATACTAAGCGAGCATTAAATCAATGTTTCTTTTTAGAAACACTGGGGTTTCGATCCATAGAAGAACCCTAAGGACCGAGCCTGAACACTATAGCAAATATTTGCGATAACGGGTCGCCAGGTGCAAGAAGCATAGATTTAGGGCGGTGCCTGCGCAGAGCTAGGTAGTTAAGAGCGCGCCTGCGCACTGGGGCAAGGAGCGCGTGCGCAGAGGGGCGGGCGGCGCATGCGTAGGCGGTCTGCGGGGCTCCGGGAGCCCCTCCTTCCTCTCCTCTCTCCGCTCCCGCCGGTGGTTGTCACTCGGTACCTGCGGGACTCTGGACGGGAGGATGGATTTCGAGAATCTTTTCTCCAAACCCCCCAACCCGGCCCTGGGCAGGAAGCCGGTCACGGACTCCGACGTCATGGATTCCGACGACAGGTGACGCCCGTGTTTTGCTGCCCCGAGCGCCGGGGTCCTAGCGGGTTCCGCCCCCTCGCACGTTTCGGACGCCAGGTCACGGGGGGCGTGGAGCGCGGGAAGCTCGGACTTGGTGCGATGGTGCGGGGCGGGCGCGCTGATGTAAGGAGGAGGTGCGGGGCCCGAGCGGGGCGAGGGTGCGCCGGGAAGCTCCCCCTTCTCCCAGCGGGACTAGAGCACGTGTGAGCTCCTAGAAGACAGAGGTCATCTTGTCATTTCTCACCGACACGTGCTAGGCGCTTTTTTGGTAGAATATATGAAATCGTTAGTTCGCCAAGCGGTGGAGTATGAGTGAATAGTCTGTTCTTATTCCACTGATCAGCATCGAAAGACCCGAAAAACTATCATAAAGCAGCAAAGACCTTTTGGATATATTTCCGTTATGTTGAAACGGGAAATGAGGCCGCTGGCCAAATGGCTCTAACTCTTTTCATTCTCGGAGACGTGCTTAGTGTAGTGTTTTTTTTACACCCAGATATTCAATAACTATTTTCCTTGTGACTTTGAAATGCTAAAAACCCACCTTTTCTTCTAAACCTGTATCTTTGCCCCAGTTTCCCTAGGCCAAAACCATAACACAGCCTTTATCCCTTTATTTCTCGTATCAGCTATAAGGCATATTATGGTTGACTTTACCTCCATATCACTAAAATCTTTTCACTTCTCTCTGTCTCACATACCTTAATTGGAACTACTTATTGCTTTAATTCAGGCTACCATCAAGAACTTTCCTATGGTGCTTTACATAAAATGTCATTTAATCTTCACAGCCTTTAAAATATCCTTGTTTTTGTAGATGAGAAAGTTGTGGCACAGAGAGGATAAATAACTTGCCAAGATTACACAGTGTAAGTGGCAAAACTAGGATTAAGTTACTTAGGTAAGTTTTCCTCTAGGACCCATGATCTTATCCCCATGTTTCTAAGGCACAGTTGGCTAAAGTAAGACCTATAAATATTGAAAAGAGAAAAAGATACTAATTACTTGCAGATGATAGGATCATCTACAAAGAAAAAGAACAGGAATTAATCAATAAACTTAAAAAACGTAAGAAAAATCAGCAAGATAAATAATCACCAAAAAAGAAAGTAGCAACATGTAAAAAACCAATAGCAGCCATCAGTTTGAAAATTTTACTGAACTACTTTTATTTTTTATTTATTTTTTTAATATATTTTATTGATTTTTTACAGAGAGGAAGGGAGAGAGATAGTTAGAAACATCAATGAGAGAGAAACATTGATCAGCTGCCTCCTGCAGCCCCTCTTGGCACTGAGAAAGGGGAATGGCTGGGGTCAATGAACAGGGCCAAGGAAGAGGGGTCACCCACCTCCTGCACATCTCCCACTGGGGATGTGCCCGCAACCAAGGTACATGCCCTTGACTGGAATCGAACCTGGGACCCTTCAGTCCGCAGGCCGACACTCTATCCACTGAGCCAAACCGGTTTCGGCCTGAACTACTTTTATATAATCCTTTTATGACACGGACTTTTGCCAAAATGTCAGGTGAAGATGGTATTGCAATATGGTTATGGTGAGTGTCTGTGGACTATTATTCATATCCTTTGCCCATCCTTCTCTTTAAAAATTTAGGATCTCTAGTGAGCAGATATTTTACCCCAGTTTGTTATTTGTCTTTTGACTTTGCCTATGGCATTATTTTCTATGCATAAAGGTTTTTGTCTGTTTTAAAAGCAGTCAAATGAGCCGAAACCGGTTTGGCTCAGTGGATAGAGCATCGGCCTGTGGACTGAAAGGTCCCAGGTTCGATTCCGGTCAAGGGCATGTACCTGGGTTGTGGGCACATCCCCAGTGGGGGATGTGCAGGAGGCGGCTGATCGATGTTTCTCTCTCATCGATGTTTCTGACTCTCTATCTCTCTCCCTTCCTCTCTGTAAAAAATCAATAAAATATATTTTTTAAAAAAAGCAGTCAAATGAATCAATCTTTTATGGTTTCTGGATTTTTTTTTTTTTACTAGTAACTTTATTATGGAATTACTCATTTATTGGGCACCAGCTATGTACAAGACATTATTCTAGGCCCTGGGGACATAGTAATAAATAAAATACATTTTTTAAAAGTCTCATACTCATGAGATTTATATTCTTGGGGCACAGGCAATATGTAAATATACAGTCCTCAAGTAATGTCATTTCATTCAATATTGTTTCATTCTAAGGTCCATGAGATGCTGTAGGAACCTAACTCCTGTGTATATCAGTTAGCCTATGGTAAAATTGATTACATTATATGCTTCACTGCAGTTCCAAGAGCCTATGGATGATATGCTGTACTAGAGGCCCGGTGCACGGGACAGGGGTGGTCCTCAGCCCAGCCTGCACCCTCTCCAATCTGGGACCCCTCAGGGGATGTCTGACTGCTGGGTTAGGCCCGATCCCAGGGATTGGGCCTAAACCGGCAGTCGGACATCCCTCTTGCAATCCGGGACCATTGGCACCTAACTGCTTACCTGCCTGCTGGTCTGATCTTCCTAACTGCTCTCCCCTGCCAGGCTGATCCCCCTAACTGCCCTCCCCTGCTGGCCTGATTGCCCCTAACTGCCTCTGCCTCGACTCCGCCACCATGGCTTTGTCCGAAAGGATGTCTGGAAGGTTGTCCAGAAGATGTCAGGTCTAATTAGCGTATTACCCTTTTATTAGTATAGATAGATGGTATTGTAGGTGATGATAAATGACATAGAGAAAAACAAAAGAGGGTTAGTTGGATAAGAAGGGAGTTTGTATGATGGAAAGGATGTAGATATTTTAAAGAAGGTGGTTAAGGGAAGCCTTATATATTAACATTAATGAGTAATATTTGAGTAGGAACCTGAAGGAAGTGAGGGAGGTTGATATCTAGCTGGAGAATGTTCCATATAAAGGTCCTGAAGTGCAAGAGCTTGGTGTGTTTGGGTGGTGGGAACTAAGTGGCCAGAATGACAATTGGAGTGGAGTAAGAGTAGTCAGACATGAGTGGTATTGGGTAGGATGGGGGAGGCAGATCATGCAGGGACTTGTAGGTGCCATAAGAAGGACTTTGGCTTCTACCCTAAATATGGTAAGAGGCCATTGGAGGATTTTCAGCAGAGAGTGACAGTTTAGTAGGGTGATTCTGCTTGTGGAGAGAGTAGAATGTGGGGGCAAGAGCTTGCATCATAGTATTAGTGGTAAGAAGTGGTCAAATATAGATAAAATGTTGAAGATAAACTGGATGTCTTCATGGTTTGGATGAGGGACATGGGAGGAGTCAAGGACAACATCAAGGTTTTTGGGAGGTATCATTAGAAGATTGGAGTTGCAGTTTCAGATAGCAGGAGTTCAGTTTTGGACATATTACCGTAAGGTTATCTCTAGTAGACACCGGGTAGATATGGTGAATAGGGGGTTGGCTCTGCCTGTCAGCGTTCCAATCTCAGCTCCACCGTTTACTAGGTTTGTGACAAGTTGCATAAGCTTTCTGTAATTCAGTTCTCTCCTCTGTAAAATAGCTTTTTAAGCAGTAGTATGTATGTTATAGTGTTGTTGCGATGATGTGTATGGGACAGTGTCCGGGCACAGAGTAATCATAATGCAAGTGTTTGCTGCTGCTGTAGTTACTATTGTTGTCATTATTCTGCCCAAGGATAGATTACTTCCTGCTCCCTGTGATTCATTACTGAAAAGTAGAGCAATAAAGATCCACAGGATTTGGTTTGTTGGCTCTTGTTTCTGTAAAAGGCTCAAAACATGGTAACTTATCTGATGGGTGTAACTCTGAAGCTCTGAATGGAGAGAGATCGGTGGTAAACTGTTGGATTGGGTATAGCTGTGAAGCCTGAACTCCTGTAACTTGGAAAGAAGCACAAAGCCACTATTCACATTCTTGTAACATGTTGCTTTGAGTATGTACAGGTGCTTAGTCCTTGCCTTTATCTGGCATGTAACACGTAACACATATTTGAAGCTTTATTCAGTAGTCACTACTTTCTGAGACAAAATTGTGTGTAATGCCCTGTATCTATACCATCAACCATTATTTAGGTTTATTTATGAACTAGAGGCCCGTGCATGAAGAGATTCATGCAATAGGCCTTCCTTTCCCTGGCTGCTGGCTCCGGATTTCCTCTGGCACCCGGGACCCAGGCCTTTGCTCCATCTGCAGCGGAGAAGCCAAGCCTCTTCAGTCATCTTCAGTCTTCAGTCTTCAGTCTTCAGTCTTCACTCTGGCTGGAGCCTTCAGTCTTAGTTCCATGCCTGCATATGCAAATTAGCCGCCATCTTTGTTGGGTTGATTTGCATACTCATCCTGATTGGGTGGTGGGCGTAGTGGAGTGACACCAACTTGCATGTTTCTCTTTTATTAGTGTAGATTTTATTGGCTTCTTTGTTCACCAGTTTTTTGTATTCCTGTCTTTATCTTTCTTGGGATCACTTTTAGTTTTGCTGAAATACCCTCAAATAACTTTACTTGATGATGTGCATGCATGCCAACTTCTCAGTCCTTGTGAGTATGAAAACAACTTCTCTTTTGCATCTTCCCCTTGAATATAAGTTTGGGCTCTCCTGACCTGAGAAGGCACCCTGAATTCTACCTGAAATACTTCTTCCTTGCACTCATTCCTCTTTGTTTGCTAACTCTTGCATGTCTTAGGTTCAGAAAGCCTCTGGCACCTAAATCTAGGTTATGTTCTTCATATATATATATACCTGTACTTACCACACCATATTGAAATTGCTTTCCTTCTTTCTCCCAAACAGATAGAAAGTTCTCAGAAGGCAGGGACAAGGCCTGTTTTACTCATTGTTGTATCCTAGGATTTAAGGCCCAGAGCCTGTATGCTGAATATGGTAGATACTCAGCATTTGTTGAATGAATTGAATGAGAATGAATGGATAAATTAAAAACCCACTAATACTTGAGCTAATGTTCGAGGTTATTTAATCTAAAATTCCAGCTTTATGTTTTACTCAAACATGTTTGCCATTTACTACTCATAATTTTGTACATAATTCTCTGGAAAGAAGGGTGGGTGGAGTAGGATTTGAATTTGGAATTTCTTTGAGGGCAAGTTGAAGATAAGCCAAAGCCGTGGATTTTAATGCTGTGGGATGAACCCTTTTCAGGTTTAAAAAAATCCTCTTGTGTTATTTCATATTTTTGCTACAGAATCGATGATGAAATAGATGATACAGAAGTTGAAGAAACACAAGAAGAGAAAATAAAAGTAAAAGTGGAGTGTGAGCATATTTCCAAAAAAGTAAGATTAAGTTGGCATATCGAAATAACAGCATAATAATTGATTTTGCGGACCTTGATTTAACGGTCTTTGGATTTAATGGACAAAATTTCTGGACCATATGTCATGTGAAAATTAATATCCTGTTAATTTTAAAATGTTTTAACCAAGATTTGCTTATACTTAAATTAACTGGTTATTTTTTTATTAATTCACTGTTATTTTAAAAAAATTTTAGCAAATAGGCGATATGTTGGAAAACACTGTAGTAATTTCGCCAACATAAATAAATATTACATCTCTACAACTATAGTTTACATATTTAAATCCAAGAGTCACTGCTTGTAGCCAATGTTTGGCCATGATTAGAATGTGATCACACCTTATCGTACATGTAATTGGTTCTGTTTTTGAGTGGTGTCACTTTCTGTAATAGTATTAACTCATGCTGTGGGATGTTCCCCTGTGCACTAAGCCACGCCCAGCCATGTGCATTTGTTTGCTCATGGTAACTGGTGAATGCATACATTTAATAAATTTAAAATTAGAGTACAGTGGGGCCTTGACTTAAGAGTGTCCCGACTAACGAGTTTTTTTGAGATACGAGCCGAGCCGTCTCTCGGCCGCTTTTTTGCTTTGAGTTGCTAGCTCAAAAAAATTCAGGTTACGAGCCAGCTTCAAATACTCCACCGCTAGTTGGCGCAATGAACGTCACAGTGATTTGACATACGAGTAATTTGGGTTATGAGCTCCGTCACGGAAAGAATTAAACTCGTAAGTCAAGGCCCCACTGTAATACTTTTCTGTGAAATTAAACTTTTCATACTTAATTTTAATTGCACAAATGTGTCTACATAAGTAAAAACAGGTAAACTAATTTGTCAATTATTTAATATATGAATTCGTAAAACATACTTTATCATATAACAGACTTTCAGCTTTAACAGACACCCCCTCACCTGAATTAGTCTGCTATATTGAGGTTTTACTGTAGTGGATATGAGAAATTTTTTAGGGATCCTGTTTGTCTCATTTTAGTTAGCATTTGAGACACAATTACTTATATCAAACCCAGTTACACTTTTTAAAAAATTTATCCTTTAAGGGCTTTGTCATTTAACATAAACTATTTTTAGTGCATTACATTTATTTTTTCTATTTCTGAAATGGGTTGTAAAGTATTTCAAAATTTTCTTCTCATATTAGATCTAAATTTTAAGGATATTGAATTGCTAATATAACTAACCTTGGTGATTTAAAGCTTAAAGCTTGTATTCATTTCCTAGGACTGCCATAACAAAGTACCTGGCTGGTATTCTCAATGGTTAGAGCATCATCCTGTGCATCGAAGGGTCACAAGTTTAAATCCTAGTCAGTGCACATACTCAGGTTCAGGTTCAATCCCCTGTCTGGGCCTGGATGTGAGGCAACCTATCGATGTTTCTCTCTCTCCCTCTTCTTTCCTCTGTCTCTATAATAAATGAAAAACATATTCTCAGGTGAGAATTTTTAAAAAGTACCACAAACTGGGTAACTTAAAAATTAGAAATTTGTTGACTCAAGCTTCTGGAGGCTAGAAGTCTGAGATGAAGGTGTCGGCTGTGAAAGGGAATCTGTTCAGGCCTTTCCCGTAACTTCTGGTCGTTTGCCGGCATCTTTGGTGTTCCTTGGCTTGGCTTCCAGAGCATCACCTGGATCTACCTACCTGTTTGAATGGTGTTCTCCCTGTGTGCATGTCTGTGTCTGAATGTCTCCTTTTCATAAGGACACTGGTTTTCAAGGCTTATAGCCCACCCTAATACCTCATTTTAATTATACATACAATGCCCTGTTTCCAAACAATCACGTTCTAAGGTACTGAGTGTTAGGAGTTCAATGTAAGAATTTGGGAGGACACAACCAGTAACAAAGCCAATATCTGCCCTTCTTTTGCCTCTTTTTCTCTTTTGAACTATTTTTTTAATTATTAATTTTAGCACATTACAAAAGAATGGGTTTTAGTTGGCAAGGAGACTTCACAGACACAAATAGACCATCCTGCAATACTCTTTACTTAGGTTTGTACAAGGACTTAAGACAGGAAATACAGCAGGTACAGCATCTTCAGCACCTCAGGAAGACTCTCAGCTACCCAAGGATGTGACTTTTGCCTTGCTATAGATGAGGGCCAAGATTGACAGGGAGAAATTACAGCTTGGATTGCCTACAATTTTTTCCTACTATTTTAGTCATTTGGGCCCAATACTTCGTGCCCATTTAAAGTCCTCTAATCCATGTATAACACTATACAGGAGATAGGCAGGTACAACATTCTAGGATTATTTTAAGTGGTTTCTAGGAAATACTACTATGAAAAGATGGACACCTAGATTATTCCCAAGGAGGCTTGCTTTAGCTCTTTACTCACAAGTGTGTAGAATGTGAATGTATCCCAGCTGATCAAAAAGAGAGCACCCAAGTCAGCACATTGGAAGTCAAGAATGATCATTACCATCAGAGCCTCTGGTGCCTCCTTTCTCAGCCACCCTCCTTGTTTCTTCCCAGAGGGACAGTCCTAACTTATGTACTAATCACTTCCTTGCTCTTCTTTACAGTTTTAATAATGCTGTCATCCATAAGAATACAGTTTGTTCTTGCCCATTTTTGTACTTTATAGAAATAAGATAGTGCCATGGATGTTCTTTTTCTCAACATTATATGATTCGTAGATATTATGGTGTATACTTGTTTGCTTGCTGTCTTAGCTGCATAGTGTTCCATTATTTGAACATATTAGATCTGTTGTTGGTAGACTTTTGGTTTGATTCTCATTTTTGGAGATTATGGGCAATGCTGCTACTACATTTTCACTTGTATCCTGCTGCACGTGTTCAGTGGTCCCCTTTACCTACAATTTTGCTTTCAGTTACCCATGGTCAGCCATGGTCCAAAAATATTAAATGGAAAATTCCAGAAAGAGACAATTCTTGTTTTAAATTGCACGCTGTTCTGAGTAGCATGATGAAATCTGAGGCCATCCCGCTCCGTTCTGCCCAGGATGTGAAGTGTCTCTTTGTCCAGCTTATCTGTGTGTAGACACTTCCTGCCTGTTGATTACTTGGTAGCCATTTCGGTTATCAGATCGATTGTTGTGGTATCACAGTGCTTGTGTTCAAGTGATCTTTATTTTACTTAATAACGGCCCCAAATTGTAAGGGTAGTGATGCTGGCAATTCGGATGTGCCAAAGCAAAGCCGGAGGTGCTTCCTTTCAGTGAAAAGGTGTGCGTACAGTACAATAAGATATTTAGAGAGAGAGATCACATTCATAAAACATTTTTTATAGCAAGTATATTGGTACAATTGTTTATTTTATTAGTTATTGTTGTTTATATTTTACTGTGCCTAATTTATAAATTAAACTTTAGCACCAGATAGGCAGGTACCACATTCTAGGATTATCACACGTATGTATTAATATATGTATATACTAATATTAGTATAGGAAAAACAGTATATATGGAGTTTGATACCATTCACAGTTTCGGGCATCCAGTGGGGGTCTTGGAATGGATAAGTGGGAACAATTCTACTCTGCATGTACATATGAGTGGAACTGCTGGGTCTTCAAGCATCTTTACCTTTACCATAATGGCAACCTGCATTCCAAAGGGGTTCTGACTTTTATTTGTAGAGGCAGTGTATGAGGAACTGTATTTCTACTGCTCCACACTTGATATTTTTATCCTTCTAATTTTTTGCCATCTGATGAGGTATCTCATTGCAATTTACTTTGTATTTTCTTGATTGCTATTAAGATGGAGTATCTTTCCATATGTTTGTACGTTTGGATTTCCGTGTGTGTGCGCGCGCGCGCGCGCGCGCATATATTCAAGTCTTTCTGTCCTTTTTTAACCCCTTCCCCAACAATTTTTTTGTTAAAAACGTTTCTTTTTCAGACTAATTTTTTTATTTTGGTTCTATATAGTATTTTTGATGCTGGTTATGAAAACAGTTTGTAACTCGTCTTCCTATAAACCATATTTTTTTACCATATTTTCTTAGTATACTCGTCGACGACTGAAAAAGAACATTTTGTGAAAACGAGTATACACGTTTCTGCCGGGGAAGGGGTTAAATTGCTTTGTCTGAATGTTTATATCTTCATTTATAGTTCTTTATTCTGGATATAAAGGGTTTTTTTCCTTCATTGTGGATTTTGTATTGCAGATATCTGCACATTTTCTGATTTTCTTTCCACTCAATGACTCTGTTGATGAAAAGCTTATAATTTTAAAGTATTCAAATTTATTAATTTTTCCCTTTATAGTTACTGCTTTATTTAAATATCCTGAGTAAAAATATTTTCCTACAGTGTCTTTATTGTTTTGCCTTTCACACTTAAGTTTATAATCACCAGGATTGATTTTTGTGAACACTTAACAGGTGCAGAGAACAACAAATTTTGTTTTACTTTATATTTTTGTTATATGCAATGGTTCTAGCATCATTCGCTGAGGAGAAAGGACTGCCTTTGCTCCCATAGGCCTGCAGTGTCACCATTATCAAAAATCAAGTGCTCATGTTCATATGGGTCTGTTTCTGGACTATTTTCTTCCACTGGATTATTTGTCTATTGTCTATTCTGTCGCTTAAGACCTCACTCTGTTAATTACTACAGCTTTATAATGAGTTTGTATATCTTCTTTGTGTCTTGGCTATTAGCTTTTTAAATTTCCATATAAGTTTTAGGAGCAGTTTGTCAAGTTCCACAGAAAATCCTGGTGGGAAATTTATTGGGAATGCATTGAATCTAGATCATTTGAGGGAAAATTGACATCTTTAGAACATTGAGTTTCTCAATCTTTGAGTCCTCTTTAATTTCTCTCAACAGTGTTTTATAATTTTCTTGGTAGAGGTCTTACATCTTATACTTTTTTTGTTAGATTTATTGCTATATGTTTGGTGAGGCTGTTGTCAATGACATCTTTTTTTTTTTATGTTGGTTTCTTTTTAAACTAAATATATTTTTATTGATTTCAG